ATAGAACTAACATAACAATAGTCCCGATAAATATTTACTCAGAAGTTAATTTACTCTATATTGCATTACAGATAAATTTAGTATCTGGGCTAGCTGCAGGTTAGGTTTGGTAACCCAAAATTAAAATTTTAGCTCAAATATAAGATTTGAGGGTCCTTTGAACTATTTTTCCAAATCCTGGACATCAATCCCTTTTAAACTCACATAACAAACAAGACCTAAGAGTGTAAACTGAGAATTTAAAAAAAATTTAGGATATAAAGTGTAAAAAGCTCAAATAATTATTTATCTACAATGTGGAAAGATGTTTTCCATCAAAAAGATGCTATGAAATTTCCATCTAAAGCCAGAATTTCCATCCCATTGTCTACGGCTACACGTGAAATTAAAAGACAACATTTTTAGTACTTATTATTGGTCCCTATATTTTTAGTCCTTATCGTAACCAAGTTGCTAAGAAAAATTCATCTAAACACGAAGTCTCTAAGAAATGGAGATTAAGAAACATGTAGCTTTCACGACTTATCACATCACATCGTGTTATTTTTCGGTGTTATATTGAATTAAGAATTAATACTATTTATTTTTTATTAATTTAGTTTTTATTATATCAATTTTATCAATTTGACCGCTAAAGTAATCAATTTCTGTCACTTTGATCCCTACATAGATGGAATGTCAAGTTTTTTTGACAGAAATGACCACATGCCATTTTTTTAAAATGATATCACATGCTCGACAAGGGTGTGTGTATGTGTTTATCTATTTATACTACTAATAAAAGTATCTTAGATTAAAAAATTTTAAATCTCTATTTTACCCTTATGAAAGATTGTAAAGACCACTTTATCCTTTCACAAATAAATATCTAAATTACTATCATATCCTTATATATTTAAAACTCCAAAATAACTATAACATCTCTATTAATTATTTATTTGCTATGTATAAATATTTATTTTTTGATTAATTATAGTACTCTTAAAAAATCATCATTATATTTTCAATAAATTGTTCTAAAAAATTTGAAAGACTCCATCTCTCTAATATTACTCATCATCTTATATCCTATATATATATTTATTTTTTTTATTTTTTTTTTCATCGAAAAGTTGAACCCTTTCATTTTTAAGATAAAAAATAATTATATATATAATTTTTTAAAATCAATTTATGTTATATCAATATAATTCTTCAATCACAATAAATTTTAGGATAAATTACACTTATAGTCATGTAGATTAGTCTAATTACATGGACACTCCCTCAATTTTTTGAAATTACACTGATACCCCATGTTAGATCTTGTCCCTTAACAAATATAATAAAAAATGCGATTTTTCATAATTAACCTTAACAAATATTGCAATGCTAATAAATGAGTCATTTTCGGGGGTAAATCCGTCAAACATGAAATTGACATGATCAACCCGTTTTATTTAATCGTGTCGAATTTCCTCTATTTTCTCGTTTGTATGTTAACACGAACAACACGGAATTGCAATGATTTATATGTTTAATTGATATTATAAAAATAAAATATTAATTATTTGATGTTGATTTTTAAGCACTAACATAATTATTGTATAAAAAAGATATTTTTACTCATTATTATTGTTATGTTTATTAAGTTAATTTTTAGTTTATAGAGAAAGTATTAGAATAGTTTCAATTAAGTAACAATAGAACCTTAGACTTAAATCTTAATGTTAAATTTTTTTCATTTAAAATTTATACGAGTCAACACGAATACGAACACACCTGTACGAGTAGCCCAGCGTTGTGGAGTTGCAGATATCCAAGGTTTACTCTCCCAAGAATTGGTCCAAAGTGGTCTTACCTCGGAGAGGTTCCACGATATAAAAAAAGAATATATGAATGCGAACACGAATACGATACGAAAATAAATAGGCTAGACTAATTTTATCAACGGGTAATATGAGTATTAAAGTATAAATAGTTGATGATGTAATCACTTTTTTGACATTGTCAATAGCGATGATAACCATAGGAACACTTTGTGAAATGGGTAAGTAAATAGTAAGGGATGTCGATGTAATTTCAAAAAATTGAGGAGTGTCTCTGTAATTAGACCAATGCATGGGGATGTCAGTGTAATTTATCCTAAACTTTATAAGTTGTACTAAGATTTTTTTTTTTTATAAAAATAAATATCGTAGCGTATTTCTAAGTAAAACTTGAATGCTTTAAAATTTTAAGATATTTGATAATATAAATTATAGAGTAGTATATTAAATCTTATTCCAATTGACCTAACTTATTTTTAATTGCAATAATGTTCAAATGTAATTAGTACATCAACAATTACTTTTATTTTATTCAATGAATTATAATTGAAATCCTAATTAAATGAATTTGAAGAAATTTAATTTCTCAAACATCACTAAAAAAATTAATCTTAATCACAAAATTCTAAAAATATAGGACTTTAACAATTTTTTTTTTTATTTTTTTATAGTTAGATCAAAGAATTTTGGGAATATATAAAATTTTCATAATCTTATAATAGAATATAAGTAATAAAAAATTAAAAATTTGTAAATTTGATATGATATTTAATTCAGATACACATTTACTTAATATATTTTATTAATTTTTATGTACAAAAAATTCTTCATGTGCAACGCATGTAGTGCATTTCTAGTGAGTTCAAAAGAATTTAAAAGTTCTTACAAAAGAGTTCAAAATAAATTGAAAGTCAAATAGAAGTAAAAAATAGATATAGATATAGATAGATAGATATATAATAATTTAACATATATAAGACTTTATTTTTTCATATAAATCCAAAAAATTGTATGTAACTATACTACAAATAAATGAGTTCAAAAAAATTTAGAAGTCCTTACAAAAGAGTCCAAAATAAATTGAAAGTCAAATAAAAGTAAAAAATAAAAATTAGATAAAAATATATAGGTGGATATACTTGACTTTACTATAATAATTAGGGGTAAAATAGAAAATCAATTTTTTTTTGCAGATACTGACATTTATAAGTAGTATAGATATAGATATAGATATAAATAAATCTTGTTTCACCTTCGTAACATTTTTAATATGTGGTTTTTTTTTTTTGGATATTGAATATGTGGTTTAGTAATANATAATTATTGTATAAAAAAGATATTTTTACTCATTATTATTGTTATGTTTATTAATTTAATTTTTAGTTTATAGAGAAAGTATTAGAATAGTTTCAATTAAGTAATAATAGAACCTTAGACTTAAATCTTAATGTTAAATTTTTTTCATTTAAAATTTATATGAGTCAACACGAATACGAACACACTTGTACGAGTAACCCAGCGTTGTGGAGTTGCAGATATCCAAGGTTTACTCTCCCAAGAATTGGTCCAAAGTGGTCTTACCTCGGAGAGGTTCCACGATATAAAAAAAGAATATATGAATGCGAACACGAACACGATACGAAAATAAATAGGCTAGACTAATTTTATCCACGGGTAATATGAGTATTAAAGTATAAATAGTTGATGATGTAATCACTTTTTTGACATTGCCAATAGCGATGATAACCATAGGAACACTTTGTGAAATGGGTAAGTAAATAGTAAGGGATGTCGATGTAATTTCAAAAAATTGAGAAGTGTCTCTGTAATTAGACCAATGCATGAGGATGTCAGTGTAATTTATCCTAAACTTTATAAGTTGTACTAAGATTTTTTTTTTTTTTATAAAAATAAATATCGTATCGTATTTCTAAGTAAAACTTGAATGCTTTAAAATTTTAAGATATTTGATAATATAAATTATAGGGTAGTATATTAAATCTTATTCCAATTGACCTAACTTATTTTTAATTGCAATAATGTTCAAATGTAATTAGTACATCAACAATTACTTTTATTTTATTCAATGAATTATAATTGAAATCCTAATTAAATGAATTTGAAGAAATTTAATTTCTCAAACATCACTAAAAAAATTAATTTTAATCACAAAATTCTAAAAATATAGGACTTTAACAATTTTTTTTTTAATTTTTTTATAGTTAGATCAAAGAATTTTGGGAATATATAAAATTTTCATAATCTTATAATAGAATATAAGTAATAAAAAATTAAAAATTTGTAAATTTGATATGATATTTAATTCAGATACACATATACTTAATATATTTTATTAATTTTTATGTACAAAAATTATTCATGTGCAACGCACGTAGTGCATTTCTAGTGAGTTCAAAAGAATTTAGAAGTTCTTACAAAAGAGTTCAAAATAAATTGAAAGTCAAATAGAAGTAAAAAATAGATATAGATATAGATAGATATATATATAATAATTTAACATATATAAGACTTTATTTTTTCATATAAATCCAAAAAATTGTATGTAACTATACTACTAATAAATGAGTTCAAAAAAATTTAGAAAGTCCTTACAAAAGAGTCCAAAATAAATTGAAAGTCAAATAAAAGTAAAAAATAAAAATTAGATGAAAATATATAGGTGAATATACTTGACTTTACTATAATAATTAGGGATAAAATAGAAAATCAAATTTTTTTTGCAGATACTGACATTTATAAGTAGTATAGATATAGATATAGATATAAATAAATCTTGTTTCACCTTCGTGACATTTTTAATATGTGGTTTTTTTTTTTTGGATATTGAATATGTGGTTTAGTAATATTACATTATATATATTTTTTGNACATTTTTAATATGTGGTTTTTTTTTTTTGGATATTGAATATGTGGTTTAGTAATATTACATTATATATATTTTTTGAATTTTAGGCTTATTTGGTAATAGATAGAGAAGTGTTTGATTTGTTTGGTGACAATAATCGGATTATTCGGATTAAATTTTTGATGATGTATAAAATTGAAAATTTACGAGGATTCAATATAATTATTAGATACAATTGGGGTGAAGGTAAAATTTTTGCCAAAGAATATAAAAACCCCAAACTAACCCATCCTTCGCCCCCGATCTGTCTGAACAGATCCTAAAGCTCGCAGTCGCAGCACTTCTTCTCTGTCCTAATTGGCGAAGACCGGCGACCGCATCTCTGTCATTGACAGGTAGGTCTATCACCATCACCGGAGAGCCACCACATTTGCACCACCATAACCCAGACATCTCCATCTCCGTCAGTAACTGTCCGATAATGACAGGTCTCACACAAAGTTTTGTTTTTTTTTTTTTTTTGAGATGTAATGTAAGCAAAAGATGTTAATTTTGTGCTCTGTTTTTACTTATAAAGAGGAATTGGAGACCAAGACAACTATGGCCGATGAGGAACAGAATTCTCTGACATATATACCGGAGGTAATATTGAAAAAAAGGAAGAGCAATGAACAGTGGGCAATTAGAAGGAAACAGCAGTTGGAGCAGAGTGTTAGGAAAATCAAGGGTGACAGTTTTGTTATCAAGAAGCCTGAGCACTTTATCAGAGAGTACAGAGACAAGGTAAAACTACTTTTTATTAGAGTTTTGCGAAACAGTTACTGCTTCATATGGTGTTTTGAGTATATTTATTTTTCAAATGCTTAGATTTGATGATCCCGTGAATATTTCTTTCATTGATTTAGCTATATAAATTCATGTCGGTTTTTTCGTTAGGTGCTTTCAAGGGTTAGCACTGTTGTATTACATGTGAGCACGGAATCAGCTACTACCTTCCTTTGTTAGAGACACCTGCGGGGTATAGTAACCATGTCGCATATCTCATTGTATTATTTTCTGTATCACACAGCTATTTCACACATTGGAAGTGTCTATATAAGATAAATGACACTATTCAACATATATAAACATTATATGAGGTCGTTTACATAAATGTCTGTCCATTCAAAAGAGTGGCCTTATTATTATTGCCTGCGCCCCTGTATATTGCACTTGTATTGAGGTGGAAGGCTTATGCTTAATAACAGTCATATTTACTCCTTATGATTTCCCTGACTTGCGTTTACCATAGGGAACGTAGTCCTCAATGAGGTGGGCCGTCATTCATCATACTCTTCAAATTTATTCTACCTACTTGGCGTATTTCTAAGCTGATATCAGTTACAATTACGCATAGATACCAACTGGGTGCTGGTTGTTGTAAACTCTTGTTCAGTCCAGGGTAATCATCTACTATCCTTATTATCTGTCGTTTTGCACCCAGGAGTTGGATTTCATCCAAATGAAATACAGGGGAAAGCGGAAAAGACGAGCTTTGGTGACACCAGAATCCAAGCTCATTTTCATCATTCGCGTACAAGGGTGGGTTATTAATGTTGTTGTTGTAAATTGTAATGATTTCCCCCAAATTTGTACTTTTTATCTTTTGATTCTGATATCTATCAGGTATTTTCAGAAAAAATGACATGCACCCCAAAACTAGGAAGACCTTGTACTCTCTGCGACTTAGAAGGATCTTCAGTGGCGTCTTTGTGAAGGCAAATGACAGGATAATGGAAATTCTGCAAAGAGTGGAGCCATAAGTTACATTTGGGTAGGACAAACTGATATTTATTGCTGTTGCTTACCATAAGCGATGTATCGTAGATGCTAAAAAGATATGGAATGACCGTGGGTTAATAATTGTATGCCATCACCAGAAATTCCTGCTTCCTGAAGATACTGGGATGATCTAACTCATGTATCTGTCTCTACCTTGATTTGTTACTGCTTTATCTGTCCACTATATGATTGCATTTTATTTTGGCTGAATCATAGACTGAATCAGGACATCAGATCATTTAGCTATCAATTCTGGTCTGGTTTGGCTGGGATAAATCTCAGGCTAAGATTCCATCTTCTCTGTTTGTGCACTCTTTTCGTGTCTGTTGGTGGGTAGCGTTCCAAGAAATAAATGCAGAAATAGCTCGTGAAAAATTGAAGTAGCATCCAATGTTGTGGAAATCCTTTGTTAGAAATTCCCTTCTTTTCCTATTTAGTTGGAGATTTCTGGTCTTGGGACAAAAATCCTTAAATAGCCTGTATTGTAGGATTTTAAATATTTGCATATCTTACAAAATTTCCCTGTATATTGTTGAGATTTCCTTGTGGATAGAGCGCCATGGCAAAAAAGGATTAATGTAGATGACTCTAAAAATGTTGGGACAAGGCTTTTTTGGGTTTAGTTTGGTTGAAAGTTAACCATTTTACAAGTATAATGAAATGAGCACTATTTGCACTTTTGTTTTCAACTGCAACGCTTCAGTTGGTTTGTATAGTTTTCATTGGAGTTGGATGATGCAGTAAAAAAGGTGAGTACGAACAGCATTTCCTTATAATAGTTAGTGATAGATATGTGGTAGGTTTGTGTTAAAAGAAGTACCCAACCATCTATAAGCTTTTTTTTTTGGGGTAAGTAACCATTTATAAGCTTCATTGAGCTGAGTTTTAAACTTTTGAAAGCTGGCTTTTCTTTGAGTGGGCTTTGGTATTAAGCTTGGGTTTGGCTTTTTTAGGCTTGCTGAACAGGATTAGAAAATAGGGGAGTTCAAGCTGCAGCTGCTTGTGATTAGCTTCAACCAGAACATTCTTTGTAGAAGTAATAATCCCAAAGAAAATAACAAAACAGGAATTCTTATGCTCTTTTCAATAATATAGATGTGTAGATAGTGCTACTTCCAGAAAGAAAAAAAGAGTACAACTACTTAAATGGGTTACCAACGGTCACCTCATGTTCTGAATGGTTTAACATTAGTTGTCTGCAATGGGCAATAGTTATTAATTATTATTTAACACGCGTAGTCTCATCAGTGTGAGAAGAATGGTCTTTTTATCTTGTTGATGTACATTCGCCCTGCCCTTGGGTTAGCATGCTTGTAAGTAGTGGTGTAAATGGCAGAATCTTCAGATCACCCTCGCATTTTCATTTTTATTACAAGACAATTAGCAAGGTCAAGATGTCGCTTATTGCAAGCCGTCTATGTCATTTTTTGGTGGTTGTTATTGTTGTTGTCGTCTAATGCAGTCCTAATTACAGTTTGTTTGTGTTTAAAGATATCCAAATCTCAAGAGAGTGAAGGACCTGATATACAAGAAAGGTGCAGCGAAATTTAACAAGAAAATAGTTCCTTTGACTGACAACAACATTATTGAAGAGGTATGAGCCATATCGTACTGGATTGTGTTGCATTGTTCCCCCTTTACATTTGCTTCCCGACTTTTAAGATTTTTTACTTCTTGCCGGGCACTGGGTCAGTATGGCATCGTCTGCATAGAAGACATCATAAACGAGATTGCTAACGTGGGTCCACATTTTAAGGAGGTTACTAGTTTTTTGTGTCCCTTCACCCTCAACAAACCAGAGAAAGCACTGCAGGGTAAGAAAAGGCTATATATTGATGGGGGAGACACCGGAAATCGTGAGGATCACGTCAATGAGTTAATTAGTAAGATGAATTAGCGATCAGAAAACAGATCGTGGGCAACACCATCACATCTGGTAAAATTGTAGGGGATGTAAAAATTTTTTAGAGCACTTACTTTGGCTTGCTTAATATTTATGATGATCAGGGTTTTGGTTTTCATATCATTATGTACTCGTTGAGCTACTGAAATGCTATGCGAGTACTTTGTAGATTGTAAAATTGTTATCTGGACAATTTTGAACTTGAGACTTGATTGTTAGTAGGGAACGTTTACGGTACCGAAAAAAAAAATTTCAGTACTGTATCGCCAATTATCATTTTTTTATAGTAAAGTTATAACTTTGAAAGGAGAAGTTATAACTATTTATAGAAGGTCATAATCAATCACAGACACTTATGATCGATCATGAACTCTCAGTATCGATCCTATGTCTTTTAAAGTACCTAAAAAAAGTTATAATTTTTGGTACAATATCGTCGGCTAAACCGTAGCCTTTCCCTTATCAGTATTGAAAAGTGAGTTCATTCGGAAATCCTCATGAATGGCACTGCATTGAGCGTGGTTGCTCGGGTATTTTGGCGTTGGCATGTTCAATAAGCATGGTGGTGTTTGAGTTGATATGGGCAAATGCATTGGGAGAAACAAGAATGGCATCTGATTCTAATGCCATTTTGTGAATTTCGTCGGTTGATTTTAGTCGCTCTTTGTTTGTCCATAAGGGAAAATTCTTATTGTTGGAGTAACTTGTCTGCCAATATTGCAGCGGTAGGGGTTATCAGCAAAATGAGCATGAATAGATAGAGAAAAAGAGTTTGAGGGGACAATGAAGATGGAACTCCTGAGCGTTATCATTGTAGTCTGAATTNTTTAGTCGCTCTTTGTTTGTCCATAAGGGAAAATTCTTATTGTTGGAGTAACTTGTCTGCCAATATTGCAGCGGTAGGGGTTATCAGCAAAATGAGCATGAATAGATAGAGAAAAAGAGTTTGAGGGGACAATGAAGATGGAACTCCTGAGCGTTATCATTGTAGTCTGAATTCATGAAAAAAGCCCATCTGTGAGACGTAGACGGCAGAAAATCATAGACGCTCACGAAAGTTGATTCGAGCCATAGTTTAAGCAAGAGAAACAAGAGTTCTGTGACTCGAACGCAACTTTGTAGGACACAGTAANTTCATGAAAAAAGCCCATCTGTGAGACGTAGACGGCAGAAAATCATAGACGCTCACAAAAGTTGATTCGAGCCATAGTCTAAGCAAGAGAAACAAGAGTTCTGTGACTCGAACGCAACTTTGTAGGACACAGTTAGTCACTGTACCACTAGTCTAAGTCCGTAAGAGAAATTATCCTTCAGCCTGGTAGTTTGTACGAGAAATTATCTGGATGGCGCTATTTTCATCCTTTAAATATTTTTTTTTCATTTTATTTAATTATTTTATTTTAAACTATTAAGTTTATCTCATCTATAATCACCTCATTAGTTAATAAATTCACCTCATTTATACACATTGAATTAAACTATTAAATATATGCCAAAAAAATCAAAAAAAATAATAATAATTTAAGTAAATTTTTAATGTTTCGAGGTAATATATATTATTTCAAAGTATTTTAAAATATTTTTTATTAATGTCTTTGGAATATTTTGAGGTGTTTTAAGATATTTTGACATATTTTAAAAATAATTATTAATTTTTATTTTGCTTCTACAATATTTTCGTACTAAAATGAAATTTTAATTATTGTGTATATAAGTATATAATAGTTTGAAATAAAATTGAATGGATTTAACTTTTAATTAATGAATATAAAATATAAATGAGATGAGTTTAATAATTAATGAGTTAAGTATAAATAAGATAATTTAAAATAAGATGGTTAAATGAGTTGAGAAATAAGATGTAAAGCGTCACCCAATTATTTCTTGGGCCAAAATTCAGTTTACTCCCTTGTGGTTTGATCGTTTTGAACATCACCTCTTTGTGGTTCAAAAATCAACACATAGCCCTTTGTATTTTTAGACTAAAATGCATAGCTAACACCGTTAACAGCAATGACAAAACGACTACCTTACCCTCCTTAAAATCTGAATATACTTTATCACCACATCTTCTTTAACCTCATTGCATCTTCATCTACTGTTCAACTTTCTATTGAATCACTAGCCATCACCACTAAATCACTATTGTTCACAAAACTAGTTTTTATTTTTTTGTGATAAAAATTATAAAAACTAAAATAAAAAACATGTGTGGTATTTTATCCAAAATCAACCACCCAACACCACTTAATCCCACCGCTAGCAACCACCTAACCCCACCAAAAATTCACTCCCCCAAACCCCTTGCAATCCACCTACCACCAATCACCCATACCGAAAACCCACCCCCACCAACAGCAACCTAACGCCACCGAAACCCCTACCCCTAACGCCACACTTGACCCTCACCCAACACTCCCTGAAAACCACCCAACACCACTTAATCCAACTACCAGCAACCACCTAACCCCATCACAACCC